TGACGCCTCCTCGATCTGATTTAATGATGATGAAGCTGAATTCAATTAAAATCTATTTCAAATCCAATTAAAATTATTTTTAAATCAATTCAAATTCAATCCCAATCAAATTTTGAATTCTGTCAACCCGAAGTCAATCTGTAATTAATATGGAATTAATCTAAAGTCAATCTGGTGTGATGATGATGATGATGATGATGATGATGAATTCAATTAAAATCCAATTGAAATTCAATTTAACTTCAATTCAAATTCAATTCAAATCTAATTTAAATTAAACTCCAATTCAATTCAAATTCAGATCAAATTCAATTCAAATTCAAATCCGAATACAATCAACTCGACGTCAATCTGAAATAAATTTGATGTTAATCGAAAGCCTATCTGATGTGATGATGATGATAATAAATTCAATCAAAACCCAATACAAATTCAATTCAACTTCAATTCAAATTTAGTCCAAATTCAGTTCAAATTTTTTTTTTTTTTTTTAAATTTGAATTCAATCTGAATTCAATCTGAAGTCAACTGATGCAATGATGTTGACGGTGAATTCAATTCAAATCCAACTCAAATCCAATTGAAATCCAATTCAAATCCAATTCAAATTCAGTAAAAATTATTTAAAAATTAAATTCAAATTCAATTCAAATTATGTAATTAATCTATGCCAGGATGATGATGATGTATTCAATTAAACTTCAATTCAAATTCAATTCAAATCCAATTCAAATTAATTTCAAATTAAATTCAAATTCAGTTCAAATTTCAATTCTAATTCAGTCGATCTCAAATTAATCTAAATTCGGCTAGATGTTATGATGATTATTAAAATCCTATACTAATTCAATTCAAATTCATTTTAAATTATATTCTAATTCTTTCGAATCCACTCCAAAATCAATTCCAATTAAATTTAAATTCAATTCAAATTCAATTCACATTCAGTTCAAATTTCAATTCAAATTCAGTCGATCTAAAATTAATCTAAATTCGGTTAAATGTAATGATGATCATTAAAATCCTATTCAAATTCAATTCAAATCCAATTCAAATTCAATTCAAACTATATTCTAATTCTTTTGAATCCAGTCTCAAATCAATTCCATTTCAATTTAAATTCAATTCAAATCCAATTCAATTTCAAATTGAATTCAATTTCAGCTCAAATTCAATTCAAATTCAGTCAATCTGGAGTAGGTCTAAAGTCAATCTGATGTGATGATGATTATGATGAATTAAATTCATATTCAGTCAATCTGCAATTGATCTAAAGTCAATCTGATGTGATGATGATGATGAGTCTAGCTAAAATCCAATTTAAATTCAATTTAAATTTCATTTAAATCCAATTTAAATTTCATTTAAATCCAATTTAAATTAAATGAAAATTCAAATCCAAATCAGCTTCAACTCAAGGTGGTTTCAAATCCATTCAAATCCAATTCAAAATCAAATCAACTTCAATACAACCGACGTCCATCTGAAATTAATTTGATATGAATCCAGGTAAATCTGATGGGACGATGATTATGATGGATTCAATTCAGTAAATCTGAAATTGCTCTATAGTCAATCTGATGTGATAATGATAATGATGAGTTCAATTTAAATCCATTTTAAATCTAATTCAAAGTCAAATCAACTTCAATACAAATCCTTCCAAATTCAATTCAAATATGCATTCAGTCAACCCGACGTCCATCCGAAATTAATTTGATATGAATCCAAAGTAACTCTGATGAGATGATGATTATGGTGAATTCAATTCAAATTAAGTTAATCTGAAATTTTTAAATCCAATTATATTTTCCTTCAAATTTAATTTCAATCCAAATCCACCTCAACTCAAATTCAATTCAAATCCATTTAAATCCAATTCAAATTGAAATCAACTTCAGTTCAAATCCATTGAAATTCCATACAAATTCGAATTCAGTCAACCTGACGTCAATCTGAAATTTATTTGATATTAATCCAGAGTCAATCTGATGTGATGATGATGATTATGATGGATTCAATTGATATTCAATTCAAATTCAATTCAACTTCAATTCAAATTCAGTTCAAATTCAATTCAAGTTCAGTCAATCAGAATTAAATCTAAAGTCAATCTGTAGCTAACGGGACGACTCTATCTACAATGCATGAAAGATTATGTTTTGATGTGGTTAGCTGCGTGAACGCTGAGTACATAGAAAGAAGATTGATGACGATTCTGAATATTTCCTGCAAAAAGATGATGAGTGGTTCAAGTAGATGAGAAAAATGAATGAAGATTTTTCGTAGATTGATTCGCTAGTGTGAGATGTTTCGAGTATCTAGAATTGAGATTTAGAAGTGACGCTCCCGTCGATCTGATGTAATGATGATGAAGATGAATTCAATTGATATCTATTTCAAATCAAATTTAAATTAATTTCATACTGTATTAAAATTCAATTCAAATTCAATTCAAATTCAATTCAAATTCAATTCAAATTCAATTCAAATTCAATTCAAATTCAATTCAAATTCAATTCAAATTCAATTCAAATTCAATTCAAATTCAATTCAAATTCAATTCAAATTCAATTCAAATTCAATTCAAATTCAATTCAAATTCAATTCAAATTCAATTCAAATTCAATTCAAATTCAATTCAAATTCAATTCAAATTCAATTCAAATTCAATTCAAATTCAATTCAAATTCAATTCAAATTTAATTCAAATTCAATTCAAATTCAATTCAAATTCAATTCAAATTCAATTCAAATTCAATTCAAATTCAATCCCAGTCAAATTTGAATTCTGCTAACCCGAAGTCAATCTGTAATGAATATGGAATAAATCTAAAGTCAATCTAGTGTGAGGATGATGATGCTAAATTGAATTAAAATCCAATTCCAATTGAATTTAACTTCAATTCAAATTCAATTCAAAATAAATTCAAATCCAATTCAAATTCAATCAAAATTCAATTCAAATTCAATTCAAACTCAATTCAAATTCAATTCAAGTTCAATTCAAATTCAATTCAAATTCAATTCAAATTCAATTCAACTTCAATTCAACTTCAATTCAAATTCAATTCAAATTCAATTCAAATTCAATTCAAATTCAATTCAAATCCAATTCAAATTCAACTCCAATTCAATTCAAATTCAATTCATATTAAATTCAAATTCTCTTAATCGGTGATGATCCGAAGTTCATTTGAAATCAATCTGTAGTAAGTCAATATAAGGCCAATCCGAAGTCAATCTGAAGCCAAAACTTACTGCTGATTTTATCCAAATTTCACTAAAACCTAATACGAATTTAATTCTAATCTAGTTCGAATTCAATCCTAATTGGATTCAAATTCCGGTGATCACCACTGAATCCGTTCTCAATAGGAATGTAATCCAAATGGCCACTGTAAAATCAATCCGGCGTCGATCTGAAAGTCACATTCGGTTCCAGACACGTGCTTTGGAAAATTGTAGGAACCTTTCAGAAGTTCTGAGAACTTCAGGAAAGTCATCAGAAATTCGGAGAGGTTGAAAGAACTTGAGGAAAATTGTTCAAACATTAAAGAGTAATCCGAGATGCTAACTCTAGAGATCTCAACGGTGGTGCCAATAATTTCAGGGAAGTTGCCTTAAGAATTTTCGAGAACTTCTGGAAAGTCTAGAGATCTTCAGGGAACTTAAGACAACATCTGATATATTTCTGAAACTTCACAAAAGTCCAATGAAGTTCCATTTATTTTTGGACAGTTGCAAGAACTTGAGGAGAATTGCGAGAATTTCAGGGAAGCTTTGAGAACATCAGAACAGATCAGAGAACCTTGAGAAAGTTTATTTTTTAGCGGTGCCGGTGGTGTAGTGGTAAGCCTGACTGCCTCGGCCTGCGTTCAATCCCAGTCGGTGCTGTGGGGATTTTTTGAGGGTTAAAATCTCTGATCACGCTTATTTGTTGCGTTATCTAGTTCGTTTATTTGGAATGCTCAATCGCGTTAGCTTTACGGAGTCGATGATTCATTGTTCATTGTTTGTACCAAAATTCTCTAATTTCTATTTCTACTAGCTGAATAATCAAGGCCTACCCGAGGTTAGAAAGGGGAGAATATTGAGGGTGGGGTCTCATTTTTTCATCAGAGCGTTGTCGTAGTATAAAGGGTAGTGCGGTTCTAGATTCGTCTGGAGTTTGACTGGCTATTGTGACTAGTAGGCGACTATGAGACTCATCGAGATGAGGGGACAAGACAAACAAAAACTAATAAATAGAGTCAAAAGACAAAGGAATTAAATTCTTATACTAGACATTTGCAGAAACACATAAGCCGACTGCATATAGCAGAGATAGCGGGTTCGCAACACGTCTCTGATAGGGATAAAGGGTTGACTTCCTTGGGTCTCGAGGGTATTCAAAAGTCGCTCTCTGGCGGCGTCATTATTTGAATTAATTTCAAAGAAATTGTTAAAACTATAAACGAGGTCCGAGAAATTTAAGAAACTTCCGCAAAGTTGCGAAAGGTTCATAAATATTTTAGAATAGTTAGAAGAAGTTACATTACCATCAGAAAAATGTGACAACATTTAAAGGGAACATCCGTGCTTTTTAATGGCAGCTTCGAAGACGTCATAAAATTGCGGGAACTTCAGCGATGATGAAACAACTTCAATTCCGATGTTACAGTAATTTTCTGAAAATAGCGAGAAAATTCACCGAAGTCTATAGACCTCAAGGGAAGTGATGAAATTCCAGGAAAATTTAAAGACAGTTACATTAACGATAGGAAAATTGTGGGATGACCTTCTGAGAACCACAGAATAGTACAAAAGGGGAAGTTCAGGGAAGTCCAGACAAATTCACGAAAGTTTAGAGATTTTTAGGGAAGTTACGTGAACTTCAGAGTAGTTGCAAGATCTTCAAGAATATTCCGGGATAATCAGGACTATTCAATGGACATCTAGAAAATTACTGTCACATTACAAGTAACTGTGGAGATATCTGTTGGAGATTCATATTCTCGCTTAAATAAGCACGTACAGCAAATTTATCATCAAAAATTTACTACCGTCAGCTTGTTCTAAAATGTATTTAGCTAATTCGATGTAAATCAGGAAGGCAGTGGTGATTCACCACAATTTCCAGTCCGAAGCAGCAAATCACAGAGCAACCGAGCGCGCACATGTTCCTTCCCGCAGTTAACGTGTTTATCACAATTACAAAGAATTGACACGTCACAATCACACCCGTCGTTCGTTCATTGTACCGTCTTGTATGCATCCTGTGGCCCGTGGGTGGTCGGTGTGATGTGCTGCTTAATGTGCCGGAGCCAATTAAGTGCTAATGATTCGCCCCATTTTGATTTCCACAGAACTAGTGAGTGCGATAGAAGAGAGTGATATCATTTGCGCGCCACATGTGTTGTGATTCCCAACTGCCTGCAACGTCGACGACACTAACTAAGATATCTTGCCTTTAGTTGCTAGTGAGTGGATCGACGGAGATCACATAAATCGAAGAGAGCCGGTAGACAAACAAAAACAAAAAAGTGAACAGTGAAGAAGGTGCGAAGAATGCCTATTTGCACGCTGCCAACGGTCAGGATCTACGAGGACTTTGACAAAATCAGTGCCAAGGAGGTGTACTTCACCGAGGCCGGGGACAAGATCACGGTTAAGTTGCTGCATTTTCCCAATCTAAGTCCCGAAGAGCAGGAACATCTGCAGAACATGTCCGACAGTGATATGAGTGGTGGGACGGGAGTTCCGTTGGAGGAACGTCAGAAAGCCCGGAAGAAGTCCACGGGAAGGAAGCTGAGCACAGAACAGCGTCGATCCAGTGGAAATTTACGCAAGAATTCCAAGGAGGATGTGAGCGGTGATGCACAGAGTTTGGCATCCAGGGTGCATCCCTATAATCACTACAACCATCACAACAGTCACCACCACCATCACAATCACCACAATCATGGACACCACCACAGCTACCACCAGGTACGGACTCCGGTGGTCCAGCATCCGTCCGGCGATGCGAGCAGTAGTTCATCTTCGCCGGGCACTCCACTGCGGTATCGTCTGCATCGGTCTCCGTCGCCACGGTTGGGATCGGCCAGTTTGTGCCCCGGCTACGAGCAGTACCAGATGTCACTGTTGGAAGTCCCATTGCCCCGGGATTACGGGGATGCCTCCAGCGACGATCTGAGCTCCGAGTGGGACTCGGACGTACCGGATCGCAACGAACAGGGAACGAAGGTAAGTGCGATAATTGGTGACCCTCGGGGAGGATCATTTGTGTAATTGAGAAGTACGCCTACATTCATCAGCTTCAATTAGTGTCCGGCTGATTACGTGTGAAGCTGAGCAAAACTCACAGACAAATGGACGTTGATTCATAACAAGGGGAGAAAAATGTGCAAACTTTCAATCGCAAACGACATTCCATATAGCATTTGTGACGTGCATTCGTGACGGGGGCAATACCAAATGACAATCAAATTGCTCATGCTGGCAAAAACTGGAATTTTCCTATAGTTTCGACCAGTCATTTAGTTCGAGCAGGACACGTGATTTACGACTTTACTTTAAACGACTCAATCAAACTGAATTTAATGACGCTGCACTGCACTTGACCCTCGAAAGGCGTGGGTTTATAAATATAGTCGAAAAACAGCGCATTAGAACGACTCGTGGAAGTCGAAGTTTTCAACAAACTCATCAATCACTCATTCCTCAAGGGGATCATCATCACCGGTATAGGAAGCAATCCGAACGCTCGGTGATCCGCGTCACTAATCAGTCAACCCCGGACGTCATCTGTTTGGACTTTCGCAATCCGATGAAAAATGTTCCACGAGTGTCGAGCCCTAAAGTCTAACAGACGTCACCAACAAACGGCTATTCGATGACGTAGTTGATCCGTCACCAATTCCGAGTCAACAATCGAACCACTCGTGCCCAATTCAAGTTTTCAGCTGCTTGTTGTTGTTTTTGTTATGTATTGACCAACCGGCAATCGCAAGCAACCATCAGGATGCAAACCGAGTGAATCCAAGTAATTGACAGCATTAACAGTTCCGCTTGACGGGTGAGGGGAGAATCGATTTCGCGACGAGCAATTATCCCGCGAACTGCTCGCCGCAGCTGTCAGTCTCAAGGCGGAGGGAAAATTGCCCGTTGGACGCCCACCACGATCACAGATCAGCAGACGTGGAACGGCCGAAATTAATTTTTTTTTTTCAATAAATTGTAACACGTAAATCCGGAGAACTTTGAGATTTGGGCGTAATTGTTTTTGTAAACAAACATGTCAATCGCTGATTTCTCGCAAATAAAAGAGCAATCTCGTGAACAAACTATACCAAACGATAGGGGAACCATTCATCTACCTGTTTGTGTTGTTAGTTTTTGAGATTGAGCTTTAATTCGCGAGAAATCGTCAAATGAAGTGTTTGTTTACAAAAGCAATCACGCCCTAATCTCGAAGTTCTCCGGAAATGTGACTTTTAATCGAAATTACGGCTGAGACAAAGTTGTAGAGAAACAAAGTCTTTCGGCGAAAAATACAAACATTCCATAGAAAAACATTAGACCCGTATTATTTTATTATGTCATTCGACGTTTTTTTTTTTTCAAACAATTATTTTTTTTCAAAAAATCATAATTTTTGAACCACTGGGCCGAATTTAAAGATCAAAATATCAAATGAAAGGTAATTAAAAATATTTTTAGAAAACAATATGATTTAAAAAATTGGGATTTCGTATTGAAACACATTAATTGTATTTGGTTGTATGGTTTTCATGGTTTGCAGGCAGAAGGCGCAATATGTTTTTATATTTTTCCTTGAAAATTATGGCTTTTTTCACAACATATTAAAAAATCAGCTATGTGTTTTTGTTTTCGTTTTTGAGTTATATTTTTTGAAGTCATTAAGTTTTGGGTTTTCACTCAATACTCCTATGCGACTTTTTGATTTTTGGACCACCCTAACATAGAAATGGTCACCTTAATGACACAATAAAAACAAACACTAGAAGAAACAATTTTGAGAAATTATACTACATCGATATTCAATCGATGGCATAATAAGACATCTTGAGGCCCTACAAATTGGCCCTGAGCCTAGGGATTTTTCTTTAACTTCTGGGAACTTCGTTAAACTTCAAGGACTTCTAAAAAGTTTAGGGAAAATCGTAGAAATTGAGAAAACGTAGTAGAAATTCTGGGAACTTCATAGATCTTCAGATAAAATCGTAGAAACAAGGAACTTGGAAAATTTCTGAAAACTGCGTAGAAGTGGCAAATTTATTTATGTTTGAGGAGCTTTGTAGCAGTTAAGGGAACATAATTTGATTTCAGGGAAGCTCATTATTGATCGGGAACCTCTACATCATTTCAGGGGCCTGTTTTGAAGCCTCATGGACTTGGAATAGTTGTGGAATTTACACAAAAATTCAAGAAATTTCGTTCGTGGAACTTCGCGGAAAATCAACGAGAAAAGGTAGAAGTACAGCAAACTTTGTAGAAGTTTTGAGAATTCCGTAGCATTTTGAGGAGCTGCGTATGGAAATTTTAAAAAGTTCAGGAAGTTTTGAAGAAGATCTAAAAATAGTTCAATAAACTTCTAAGAACTTCAGGGATCCTCGCTTCAGCTTAGGGAACTTCGTTGCAGTTTGTCAGAGATCTTACTTAAAAAAAGCTCCATGAACTACTTGGAGGTTTTGGGAACTTCGTGAAATTTCAATGACTTTTCCAGATGTTCAAAAATATTTGTAGATAATAAGTATCATTCCAGAAGTGCAAAGATGTTCAGAGATCTTCGCAGAATTACGAGAGATGGAAAAAATACGATATGGAATAAACTCAGGTAACTTCGTATAAGTTGAGGAATTTTTTTAGACTTAAGGAAGTTTTGTAGATGTTCAGGAAACGTTGCATAAGTTACCGGATATTCTTCCAGGCATACTTCGTAGACAGCAAGGAATATTCAAAAGATCTCCATATATACGAAGATTTTAGTAAAATTCTCTGGATATTTTCCAAGACTTCAGGTTGATCAAGTTCAGAGGATCTCCAACTTTTTAAAAATTCTTGAATGATGAATCTAGATTTTATGGACATGTTTGTACATTTTATATAGGGAAGAGTCCTTGGTGATTTAGCTATATTGCTACGCCAATGATGATCACATATCAATCATGCTCTGGCAACTTGTTATTAGTAGAGATAGGGGTGCCACATCCTTGGAGTAGAGAGTCTCAACCCAACAGGGATGTCCCGGCATCCGAAAGAATAAAATACACTGGATTTAAAAGTGTGCTGTACGCTAAATTTGGTGGTAGAGCTCGGCGTCCCTGAGGATAACCATCACTGCAGCCTGGCCTGGAGGCTTCATCACCGAGAGTATCGCGGATGCTGGTCGCAATCCCGTATAGTTGCCGAAGGTTATCGTATTGCGGACACACGCAAAGGAAGTGTTCAACGGAAAGGAGAACGCCGTAGATGTCACACGCCCTGGTCCCTGGTGATTTTACGAGTTGCCTGCGACCATTCGATCTTCCAGGCCTCTCTATTGACTATCCAGCGTTTGATATCATGTAGCGGCACTTTGCTCGAGTGGTGGATGCCCGATGCGGCCAGGCTGTCCGCTTGCTCGTTGCCGAGCACTCCGCAATGGCCAGGGATCCAGGCGTATACAGTGCTGATAGACGCAAACCAGATCACATTTTGTACTCATGGATGTACTGGTCAGACTGGAGAGCCTGAATATCACTATGAGAATCCGTGAGTACCAGCACTGGATGGGCGGACGGAGTGTTTGCCTCAATTTGGATGGCTGCGGCGACTTCAGCCGAAAGTACTGATCGCTTCACCTGGGCCGGAAACGCTGATGCCTACACTTGCTTGCGACCTGACCCGTCAGTGTAGCGGTGCGTTTAGTTGGAGTATATGCCTGCGGTTAGTTCTGCAACCGACCTTCTCAAAGCCTCGGACCTATCTCCTGCTTTAAAATGTTCTTTATCCGGTTGTCTATTTTGATTTAGAGAAGTTCTTCTTCTTCTTCTTCTTCTTCTTATTCTTCGCATTTCAAGCTTATTGCATATCGCATATAAGCTTATTGCGTGCTCTCAACTTAGTGTTCTAGATGCACTTCCACAGTTATTAATTGAGAGCTTTCGATGCCTGTACCATTTTTGCATTGGTATAATTGTGTGGCAAGTCCAATCATACTTCTATGCCCAGGGAAGTCAAGGAATTTTCCAACCCGAAAAATTCCTAGACCGGACCGGGAATCGAACCCAGCCACCTCCAGCATGGTCTTGCTTTGTAGCTGCGCCTTTACCGACTGAGCTAAGGGAAGTTGCCAGCTTCTATATCTCCGAGCCCGTGACCCTTGTTCACTGGGGGAGATCCACGTTGGCGGCCGTTGTGAAAGATTCTATTATATTAAAGGGTGATACGGTCAAAATTGGGTCAAGGGAAAACGCGTGTAAATCGGTGAAATCGTTTATTTAAAAAATCAAATTAAATTTCTTTTTCAAGTTCAATTAGTATAAAATTCAGGAAAAATATTCAGTTAGGCTTCCGCTTTTCCAAATCCGAATTGCCGGGCCTTACGCTTGACCCCTGCCATCAGATTTTGTACAGCCACCTTGTCCACCTTCTTCGCCGCAGAAAGCCAGTTTGCCTTGAACTGCTGCTCGCCCTTAGCAGTTTTTTTTTGTCTTCTTTAGGTTCCGCTTGACAATAGCCCAGTATTTCTCAATTGGGCGGAGCTCTGGCGTGTTGGGAGGGTTCTTGTCCTTGGGAACCACCTGCACGTTGTTGGCGGCGTACCACTCCATGGCCTTTTTACCGTAATGGCAAGATGCCAAATCCGGCCAAAACAGTACGGAACAACCGTGTTTCTTCAGGAAAGGCAGCAGACGTTTATTCAAACACTCTTTCACGTAAATTTCTTGGTTGACAGTCCCGGAAGCTATGAAAATGCTGCTTTTCAAGCCACAGGTACAGATGGCTTGCCAAACCAGATATTTCTTTGCGAACTTTGACAGTTATAGAAAGATCCTATCAGCATCCGGAGGAACCGGAAAGGAAGAAGGCCGGATACAATGCGGACATAGCGGGTGACTGCCGATGATTGCCCGTTCCACTTTAAACCGAATGTTGTGGTTGTTGGATCTTTGCTGCCTGGTGATGATCCGCACCAGAATAAGCCTGCTACGGCAGCTGAACATGACGGTGGGGCTCAA